CCATATGTAACTCATCCCAGAACAACTGTTTCTGATGCATCTTGAACATGTTTGGCTCCACAGAACTGTTTTCTGAAACATGGTGTAATTTATAGAACCTCTTTTTATTTTTTCTGGTGCTTTGAATGAGTTAATGTAGAAGAATATAAGATAATGTGAGAAAAATATTTTGAAAGAACATATATTCAAGTGTATGGACGTCTAAATTGAAGGATAGTCGAGTATGATGACTGACAACTGTCCAAGCAATTTTTTTCTCTTAACAGAAAACTATTTGTCTCCTTTGTTTTCCAGGATGTCTTCGAGAATGGAAACAAAAGACAAATCTAAATATGCCCTGTGTCATTATTATCGTGCTTGTGTTGTTTTCTTTTGTTTACTTCTTTGTACTGATTCTAATTTTGGTCTGATCTAGATGTAAAAGTTGGGGATGAACTCTTGGTGGATGGTGGGATGGTGAGGTTTGAGGTGATTGAGAAGATAGGTCCTGATGTCAAGTGTCGATGTACTGATCCTGGATTGTTGCTTCCCCGAGCAAATTTGACTTTCTGGAGAGATGGAAGTCTTGTACGAGAACGTAATGCCATGCTTCCCACAATTTCTTCCAAGGTTGGTTCTCTGTCTTCTTGTTTGACTTCTCCTTTCAACATGTGGTTGACACGAGTGAATGAAAGTGAAAAAAGAGATTTTTTGCTTATGAAATATCTGAATTTCTATTGAAAAAAATTATATATCTGAATTTCTGAACTGGACTATAACCTGGAGGACCATTTAAATATCTATATTGTCTTGAGTGCTAGAAGCCATATCGTGATGAGGAAAAGCAACAGATTGGCTGTAATATGATATTGATCTCTAACCGGCTGTTATTCGATAATAACTTTTTGACTACTGTATTCTCTTTCCTTTTTTTTTTGCCAAGTACGAAAGTCATTCTGTTCTTTCTTCTTTTTCCTTGCCCGTTAAAGAGTGTTACTCTCCTCATTATCACTGTTGACATACTTTATATCCACGAAAGGAGTAAGTTGTTTATAGTTTCTCAAATGAACACGGGAAACAACTTTCCGAGCTGAAATATTTCTGTCTTTATTTTCAGGATTGGTTGGACATTGATTTTGGGATTGCAGAAGGTGTTGATTTTATTGCAATATCCTTTGTAAAGTCTGCTGAAGTGATTCATCATCTTAAAAGCTATATAGCTGCCCGGGCCCGTGGCAAGTATGTAAACATGTTTCTATCTAACCTTAGTTGTTTGATGTATGGGAATTGACCTTCCTCCTTGTTCAGCTGCCTCCTCTTTCTCTTTTTCTTTTTTGGATAAAGATTGTTTACTGATTATGTTCTCTTGTAGTAGCCACATCCGTTTTAGTATTATCTATATGTCTTAGATATGGTGATATCTCACTAAAGATATCAAGCTGTTTTACTGTCATTTTTATATCTATAATTTTTAGTGTTTTATACACATTGGTTATTATCATTAATACATGTAACTTAGAGCCAACACTGAGATTGATCAACATCCACAAATATATATTGTTATTTCTCCTTTCAAAAGTATTTTGTTGTTTCTGCTTTCTATTGCCTGCTTGGCTGTATTCTGAACCCAACAATTGGTAATTTTCTGTTATGATGCAGTGAAATTGCTGTCATTGCAAAGATAGAGAGTATTGACTCATTGACGAACTTGGAAGAGATTATTCGAGCATCAGACGGAGCTATGGTTGCAAGAGGTGATCTTGGTGCTCAGATACCGTTAGAACAAGTTCCATCAGCTCAGCAAAAGATTGTTCAGCTGTGCAGGAACCTAAATAAGCCAGTCATTGTAGCTTCTCAACTACTAGAATCTATGATTGAATACCCTACGCCCACAAGAGCTGAAGTTGCTGATGTGTCTGAAGCAGTTAGGCAGAGAGCTGATGCTTTGATGCTCTCTGGTGAGTCAGCTATGGGCCAGTACCCAGAGAAAGCACTGGCTGTTCTGAGAAGTGTCAGTTTAAGAATTGAAAAGTGGTGGAGAGAAGAGAAACACTATGAAGCCATGGAACTCCCTCATGTAGGATCTTCATTTTCGGATAGTATCTCAGAAGAGATTTGCAATTCTGCTGCCAAGATGGGTGTGTTTTTAAACTTAAAATATTTTAGACATATTTGGCTTTTCTTTCCTCAGTTAATGGCTTTTTCTGTCATGCATGAATGTGATTGGGATCTTTTAGATTGAGTGTATTTGTGAAAACCTTAGTTAATCACAAAACCTAAAAATATCTCCATTTCAAATATCTTTAAGTTCTAGAGATAATCGAGAAACATAGAATGAAGAAAGAAGAAAGAACATATTTTGTTTGTGCTTGAAGATAGATGAAAATTAAGAATAGAAGACTAGTCAAAAAAGAAAAAAAAGAGAAAAAACAAAAGAAAAGAATACAAAGATATACTCATCAATTGGATCTCTTCAACTCTTTAGAAAGTTCGGGGTATCATTTAGGCTTTTATCTTTTTGAAGATAAGAATTGGAGAGCAAATGATAAAGAAGAGGAGATACAGAGTATAGGCCTTCTCTAATTAATTTTGTTAACAGAATTGTTGATGTTCACAACTTTACAGTCTCCACCTAACTTCATCATTGAATTATATAAAATGTTATTTCTTTTGTTATTGTAAAATATGAGAGAGAATATAATTGAAAAAAAAATTACCATCACGTAATCATTATTTCAAGTGTACATAACTTGCTTTCTTTTGTTGGTGGAGGAGGAGCATACAGATCAAGAATATCTTATCCCTTTCTTTACAATAAATTTCCTATATTTTGAGATATTGCCCTTATAGCCTTCAAAAGGTTATATAACATTGATGGAGTTTGAGATCATAGGAAACTTTGTGATTTGTTTCACCTAGTTCTTTTGACTGTTGAGCAGAGTTGCTAATGAACAATAGGTTACTCTTCAGTTTCTTTTTTAGGCAGTTCATTTAGCCCTTATTATCTAAATGCTCTCTTTTGTACATGGGTTCGCCCCCTCGGCACTCTTTTTAATATTACTACTCACTTTTTATCTCAAAAAAAAAAAAAATTAGCCCTTATTATCTCCAAAAGGATCTGCTCTTATGCAATATCATTGATTTTCTTTTTTTGAGTGTATATATGATATTATTAATGGATGTGGAGATCACTGCAGATTTTTTTTATTTGTTTGCATAATTCTTTTGAATATTGGTAGAGCTGCTAAATCAGCAGTATATTATTCTTCAGTTGCTTTCTTGGCTAGCTTTGTGTTATAGTCTTTATTTTTTTGTTGGACATATATGTTGTTTTCTTTCTGGCATTTTCCCATCCTTAATAGTAGTTGATGTAGTTATATCATAGAAGTTGGCCTTCCAGCACAAACTTATTCCTTAATAGCTTACATTTATCATTTTTCTTTTCCTCTTATTCATTAGAGCATATAGGTGGGCAAAGTCCATTTGGTTTGTTAAACTTTACCTTATAAATTTTCTGAAATCACTCAATTGTTTGCAATTTTTACTAATTCAAATTTTAGGGAAAATGACTAGCCTTCTTAAGGTTGTGGACAACATATGCTTTCCTCGGTATATTGACATTATATAGTCATTAGAAACAAGGTCCCAAGAGGTTGCCTTCCTTATACAAAAAGAGGGAGAATTTATAACTCAATAGAACCATCTTTCAGGTTCCCAAATCCTTATGACTAGCAAGGGGATGTTCCTTATGGAAAAACTAAGTCAGGGTTTAGAGTCAAAAGTTTCTAGTTCTGTCAGCAAAAGATAAAGCATTCTCAAAAGCCCTATGATTTTC